GATAATGGGAATTCCAATTCTTAAAGAAGAGTTTAGCCAACATACCTCACTTGAGCTTCCTTACACTCTAAATATTTCGGAATTCTTAGCAACTTCCATCTATTTTAGAAATATAACAATTTGAACCAAAATTAGGAAGATGATCATGGTTCTAGCTCATTTGAGCATTTTATCAAACACTAGGTGTGCATAAGGTTTCAAGGTCCTTTTATGGAGGATTCCATCATCCCACAACCCAATCTTTACCATTTTTAGTTCAACAATCTTTCTACACCCCTTGATATCAGATGCATGTAAAATAAACAACTCTCATGCCCAAAATATTATCTTGCTAGCTACCCATTTTCAGAAAATTTCGAAATTAGGGTTTAGAGTGTATAATCTTACCTCTAAGATGAAGACCTAGTGAGTTTCCCTTCTTAATCTTCCAAAACTTGAGCAAGAATTGAAGAACAATTATTGAAGAACACCTTCTCACTCTAGGGCACTCCCTCTCACTCTAAAATGTCAGATTATAGCTCAAAAATGGCCCAAAGAGTGTATTTAACGAAATAGGGTCGGATTTTAAAAACCCAAAAATGGAGCTCCGGAAAAAGGTTTGCGATCGCATAATCGATATGCGGACCGCATATCGGTCGCATAATCGGTGACCAAAACAACCAAAAATTTGTTCGTGTCTGCGGTCACTATACGGTGCGCATAACTGTTATGCGATCGCATAATGACCCCATAACTGTTATGCGGTCGCATAGTCGACCGCAGAATCACATCCAATCTGGCCCTCTCCTGCCTCACTTCTGCGGCCATTTTGTGGCCTGCAGAGTGGTTCTGCGGTCGCATAATGGACCGCAAAACTCGCATTTTTCCGCCAAAAATTTTCCTTTACTTTCCGGTGCATTGTTCAACCCAAAAAGTCTGAGCCAAGAATTTCTATAATACTCAACACGTAAAATCAATTCGGCACCACGAAAAATTACTTTCTTTTGAAAAGTTTTACGGGGCCTTACAGGTTGGTTCGGGTTCGGAAAGGTTTTGGAGTGAATGGGGACACTTAGTCCCAAGGTTGGAATATTGAGTTGTAAGAGTTGACCGGAGTTTGGATTTTATGTAGATGACTCGGAACCTTGTATACCAGTCCAGGAGTATGAAATTTGATATTCATTGATCATGTACAAGTAACCTTGTATATCTTCCTTCTGTGAGTTATGGATTGACTGGTAGCACATGAATAGGTCGTGCGGTTGTGATTATCAGCACATGAATACGCCGTGCGAATGTGATTATTAGCACGTGAATACGCCTTTCGGTTGTGATTATTAGCACGTGACTATGCCGTGCGATTGTGATTATTAGCACGTGAATACGCCTTTCGGTTGTGATTATTAGCACGTGACTATGCCGTGCGATTGTGATTATTAGCACGTGAACATATTGTGCGGTTGATATTATGGCACGTGACTACGCCGTGCAGCGTATGGATAAGGATCCATCCCCCTAGGGTCACCCTCTCATGTTCTTTGTTGATGGTGTACATGTGGTATGAGGAAAGACTGGCCAGTGTATGATTCGCATATTGCATTTCTTCTTTAATTGTAATTTTCTTGGTTGTTTACCTGTTTCATTGCATATTCTCTTTATATGCGGGATTGTCAACTGAGCAGAGTATGTTACGTTATCTTGTGTGCCGGGGTGGATTTATCTGTAATTCATAACTTGATCATATTTCTGTTCTATGCCTGATAGATTTATGAACTGTACAGGTAAATAGTGAGTATTATTGATAATTCTTGCTTATATTATCTCGCCAAGGTTAGTTATGATACTTGCTGAGTACATGGGGTCGGTTATACTTATAGTATACTCTGCACTTAATTGTACAGATCCAGGTGTTGGATCGAGTTATGGCTAGATGTGGGTTGTTGTTGTACGCATCTTCCAGACTTGTACTTCTTATTAGAGCTCATGACACTGTATTACCAGTTTTGATGGATTATTATATTTCGACGCAACTATTTATGTTATCGGCATTAGACTTGTACTATTTCTGCTATTTCTGTTATTTATGTCTCGTTTTTGTTATGTTCGGCTTACCTAGCAAGTGTGTTAGGTGCCATCACGATCCAGTGGTAGTTTTGGGTCGTGACAAGTGCTCGAACCAAGTCAAGATGAGGTGACACGTGTTCTGATTAAAAAAAAAGGGTTTTAAACTAGAAATATTGGTAGTTTTTTATATTTTGATCTATTGAGGCAATCTTAGCAAATGTCTTAGTTTACTTAAAACAAATAGCATAGAGTTTATAAAATATTTTTTCTTGCTTGACCATTGAAATATCCCTACAACCGAAGTTCATAGCCTAATTCCAATTTGTTGCTTCCAAGTCAAGCATGCAGTTTGAGCCGCTGATATATGATCTAGTGTCACAAAATCTCACTTTAACAGATGAAGACCCCAACACATTTATTTAGACGTAAAATATACATCTAGTAAAACATATGGGTCGTCGCAGGGGGCTATTTAGGAATCAAAAACAGTCCAAATATGTCCTTGAACTATGCAAAATTGAGCGGATGTGCCCATCGTTAATACAGGCATAAATATGCCCCTATCATCCAATGCTTGCTCGAAATATACCCTTATTTTAAACGGCCTCATATGGATGACATATTTGGTCACACGTGCAGACCTTAAGGGCATATTTGGTCCATTAAAGTTCTTAAGAATTTATTTTATTGAGTTATCTTGTTTGGTTCATGATAATATATTAAAAGCTTGTAATGATAAAATCCCCCTCAAATCGATTGATTTCCTTCTATAAGTCTTAAATACAAACAAAGAGAAGTAAAGTGTAGAAAAACCTAAACTATTTTGTTGGAAGAGAAACCTATACAGTGGCCGTAAAACTTGAGAGGTTTCTCTTCCAACACATGGTTTAGGTTTTTGAATACTTTGCTTCTCTTTGTACCCAAACCATGCTTCTATTTGTTCCTAAGCAAAGTATTATCATGTTTTGTTTGTACGAAGCGAGTAAGTAATTTACTTTTTGAAAAGGGGTCAAAACTATTTCTATTATTTGCTAAATGATTTATAGAAACTTGGTCCATCTATCAGTCTAACAATACACATGACATCCATCTAGCGGTCCAAAAATACACACTATTTTTTTATTATCAAAATTACCCATATGTTTAATAGCAGACCAGGTGGACCTTCAAATTAATGTGTTGCCATCTTTTTACTAGGCCACGTGGCACTCTTGTCCATAAATCAAATTAGGATTTAATTTTGACTCATTAACCGGATCCAACCCTAATTTTTGTTATCACACCCACTCCCACTCACCTGACCACCCCCTTCCTTCTTCTCCAGCCATAAACCCCATATTAATGGTGTTTGCAAACCATATCTGAAAGATTCTGATCATGTTCATCACTATTTTCCGCTATTGGTTACCATCTTCAGCGAGGAGATCTAGTGGTCGCGTCGCCGGTGGTAGAGGAATGATGTCGGCAGTAGCATCCTGGAGAGCTGGAGAGAGAGAGAGAGAGAGAGAGAGAGAGAGAGAGAGAGAGNTTTCGACGATGGCGGCGATTGGCCGGTGGTAACGCCATCAGTGGTGGTGATGGAGGAAGAGGCTAGGACGAGAAGTTTTTGGGATTTAAGTGCATGGGAGTGGGTGTGTTGGGTGATAAGGAAGAAAGAGAAAGAAGAAGAAAAAAAAAAAGCAAAGAAAAAGAAAGAAAATAATAAGGTGGTCAAATAAATGGGGCGGGTATTAAATCCAGGTCTGATTTCATCCCGAGATTGCCACGTGACCTAGTAAGAAAATGAAACGTCATTAAATTGAAGGCATGTCGATTATTGTTAGCGTGGGGGCAATTTTGTTAATTGAATTAATATTGTGTGTATTTTTGGACTAATAGATGGAGAGTGTATCTGTAAACTATTTAACAAATAATATGGGTAGTTTTGACTCTTTTACGTTTATTTTTTGCTACCGAGTTGAGATTGACACATTTAAATGATGCAGTTGATTCATTTATTACCTATGATGGCAAAACTTGTTTATTGTATTAGTTTTTATTGTTATAATACCGAGAGTGGCTATTTAGTGGTGTTTTGAGGCATATGAGACAGTGGAGACATTTATTGATATAGGTGTTCCAACAAATGATTTAAGTTTTTCTACAGTTTGCTTCTCTTTGTTCATATTTAAGATTTACATAAGGAAAGCAATCGATTTGAGGGGATTTTATCATTACAAACTTTCATTTGCCATGAACCAAACAAGAAAACTCCATAACATAAAAGTTTAAGAACTTGATGGGTCAAATATGCCCAGAAAATATGCGCGTGGGACTACATATACCCTCCATATAAGGCCATTTAAAATAAGGTCATATTTGAAGCAAGTATTGAATGGCAAGGGCATGTTTGTGCCAAAGTATTAACGACGGACAAATTCGCTCGCTCAAGTTCGCATAGTTCAAGAGCATATTTGGACCTTTTCCGTTTAGAGATTAATAATCCTAGGATTGTTCTCCCACATCTCGTATAGGTTAGTTAATACCACCATTTTAATATAAAATTTGTACTAGTATTTGGTAATACTTATAATTAAACATAGGATAAATATAAAATCAAATTCTATTTTGGAATTATTATTCTAATCCTAATAACCAAACAACCCCGTCGTATTTCATTAGGCAATATGGATTCCTGAAAGAAATAATAGAAAAACAGGATGAGTTTTACCTATTTACGGCATAAAAGATGTTTGTATAATCAGATTACTTAAAGGTCGACTGTACGTAAACGACTATATACAAACTATGGGTGTCATGATAGTTTAACTAGGCTAAACATTACCAATAGAACGTGATATGTTGGGCTTCCGAAGCAAATAAAAAAGTAAGACTACCACTATTAGTAGTTCGTATTAATCATTAAAGTGACGAAGTCGTTGTTTTAAGGTCCCAAGTCTCAATCAAATGACATAAGATTAAAACCAAGTGACACAAGATTAAAATGATGATGAATATGGATACTCAATAACCATCTCCAGTGACTTGCTTCCGCAATGGGTAAATACTTGGAACAAACCAGCCCCTAAATCTGAACGCTTATATTCCTCATATCTTCTAAACGTACAATCCAAAATAAAAAAAAGGAACTGTACTCTCCTAACAAAATGAACACTGATTTGCAAAGGGCGCAGGCACGTATTAACAAGAACTTATATATCACTATGGAGAAACTGCACATAATTAGTACTGACTCTGTTCCCTCTTAGGTTCTGCAAGAGAGCATAGCTAGATCTGTTAGCAATTTACATACCTCTGCTCCCAGTCAAAAACATCCTTCTCGAGGAGCAGCTTAAGGGGCCACAATTGGCACAAAATTTAAGCATCTTGCAGAATAGCATGCCTCTGTCTTAACCCTACATCAGCCTCCTGGTCATCTCTATCCACTCTTGAACTGCCTTCTCTAGACTCCACTAATTCCTTTTCCCTCTGCTCCAACTCTTCCCCATAATCGTGAAGTCTACGACCAATCATATAACGGTCATCACGTATAGAATTGTGGAGATTGGTGAACCATGCATGGAAACGTTTTGCACAGAACCAGAAGAAACTGAAGCCAAGGCTACCAAGCCAAGCAAATCTATAGACAGCAGAGTTAACAAGTAACGGGTAACCAAATATTGGAAATACACCCTTGGCTAAAACGTATGGGAAACACAATGCCGTAAGCAGCTTCATGATAATTGGAACAACAATCTCGCGAAGCACCCAAAAGACTCGCAACCTAGAGAAACCATCTTCCCTCACCCTCTCAAATTTCATTCTCCAACTTCCATCCACCAGTGGCATCATATGATCTAGCATAACCTGGTAGCACAAATTAACTCCCAATATGAGTACTATGGAACAAAAATCAGCCAAGGGAAATAAAAGATGACAGCCAGGAAAGCGCTGAGGTTTTAAATCTTAACACAAAGAAGGGCAAGGGCATTCTTGAAAACTCTCTTGAACATTTTTTTGGGAGGTGGTGCAGTCAAGAGTTCACTTCTCTCCTTATTCTTTTTTTAACAACTCAAGCAGTCAAGAGTTTTGAACTTTAACACGGTATAAGAGGTCCAAGAGAAAGCATGCTTGCTGTTTTTAAAACAATGTTAACTCCTGGAGACAAGGCGATGAATGTGAAGACACGGCCATCCTCTATAGGGGAATAGTTGCTTCCAAAATTAGTATTATGCACACAACATACATGGCTCGCCAGGAAAAAAAAAAGAAACAAAGAAATTATCAATTATCAAGGGGTGAAAATGTAGCAGAAATGCAAAGCGGAAGCTCCACATCCATTAAGTAATTAAAAACAAATACTCAACTGCAAATTCTGTCTTGCCACATACATTCTCGTTAAATAAATGAAACAGAATAAAGGTAACAACTAAAGTAGATTAAATGACATGAAACTTACCAGCCTAGTCCAGATTTTTAGAAAGATTAATCCCAAAGCCCAATCCTGATATAGAAGGAAAACTGGGCTTTCATCAATAGGCACTCGCATAGGCACAATGACCAGAACTTCAAAAAGCAGCCCAATCAACAGAGGGATGATAAAAATCTGGACAGAGAATCAGTGAATGAATTAACAATATGAAAAAGAAATCATGGCATAACTCTTGAAACAGGAAATTTTGACATTACCCATATTGACAACAGTGCAGAACTCTTCAGAACAATGACACACCATTTCCAAATTTGGACCATCAAAACCGTAGCTCTCCTCTTCCTAATTTGTTCAATGGAGTACCTTGCCCCAGCAATAGCGATCCAAATTGCATAGCTTCCAATTACAAATGCATACAAATCTAAGAAGTTAAAGCAACAACAGGGTCAATAATTATTGTTAAACATCAAAAACTAATATGCTGTTACTGACTTAGGTAAGTCTAATACCATTGCACTTGATTCCATGTGTTACTGGAAGACGTGGGAGGACACTGAAGAGCACTCTTCCAAGTGAAATCGGAACTATTATCAGGGCAGAATTAAGCATGAGGAGAGTCATCCAAGCCACAATCAACAACAACACAATACGAAGCACAAAGGCAGACCTGCTAAAAGATGTTCTTGAACAACATAAGTTGCTTGTTAAAAAATTTATAGTAAGCTTAGTATTGGTAATTATAACTTCTCTTTCCTTATGCTTCCACAGACTAACAAGAAGAGCATTATAACTGAACATAACAGGGGTGTGTATCCGCATTTTTGGCAAAAGCTAATGTTATCAACTTCCATATTTTAAAACAAGCAAAGGACAATTAATCATGTAGGCTCCACTTGAAAGAAATAAGATCAAATGAACAGAAAATTTAAGTTTAAAGTATTTTAAAGAAAATAGCACTTAAAATCTTTGTTGACAAGATGATGCGCTTTACCAAGAAAGAACAAGCATTGCTCTGCCAATTTTGGTTCTACTTATTATTCATTACCAAGGAAAATAGCTTTATCTGATCACATTTTTAAGTAAATATATACAGTAACAGGTCTAGAAGGTATTAGTGAAGTGATTGAATTACCCAAGATGTAGATAGATGGCTGCAATAGAATGCAAGTCCAAAGTACGATAGTATAAAATTCATCGTCCAATAAGAGTGGATTAACATTCTGGGGCATAGTTCAACTTACTTAGGATCTGTTTCTTCATCACCATCATACTCCAGAAAGTTTGCATTCGCTGCATGCCTAGCTCTATTCACATCATCAGTAGCGAGTCCTACCAGCGCCCTATCAGGTACACCATGTGGTGCATGCATCCTTTCCAGCCTTACTTGATCACCATTACCATTCTCTTGGCCACCATTATACTCGGGATGGGGCAGTAAGAAATCAGTTAAACCAAGAGCCCATCCAATAGCAGTAAACCAGTAGCAGAGAAGAGACTTCATTGTTGTACGCAGCTTAAAATGCTCAATCGCAAAAGGAATACAGATTTGAAAGAGAAGCAAGTCAGCAGGAATTTCAGTAAATGGATCAGAAACACTGCAAAGGCCAAAGAGAATGATAGTTCCATGAGTTAACGACAGGGCTGAATGTCGAAACACCACTTCACATATCAATTACACACTAAAACCAAAATCAATAGAGGGAGACAGCATTCAAACAATCTTACGAAATATCAAGTGGGAAAATGGAAGGAGTCATTTGCATGGCAAGTTTGACAGGCAAAAATACAAGCATCACTATTAAACTTCCATAGACAGCCACTGATAAAAGAACTCTACGAGCATGCTTGTGAACAGGATCATCAATCAGATCACGGAATGGGTTGTAGTTGGGATCTGCTGGATCTCGCAGGAAGTAAAGAACCCCTTTACGCAGAACCTATATAAGTATAGTACATAATTAGTAAAAGAACATTTAGCAGTATAAAGATGGAGACTTTAAAGATTACAGTTAACAGAAAATTTACCCCTCGAAGAAGGCTAACAAAGATACTTATTTGTAGCATGTAGACAATCCCTACAACCCAATGAAGTAATGAACTCGCCAATGGAGAGACAGAAAAAAATTCAACTCTTTGGGTGATCGATTTCCCAAACATTCTGATGGTGCAAATATCCAGCCACCATCCACACATCAGAGGGAAAACTCCAAGTTCAATGACAAGAAGGAACGCAACCTTAATCATAGTCATCAGATGCCTCATCGCTGCCACAAACTGCCTGAAGAGGGAGGGGATGGTTTCTGCAATGGAAGCAAGGCCATAAAATCTTCCCAATGTCAATGGCTCTCCGCGAGTGTACCGAATTAGAGTGAGAATTCCAAGGTAGAAAACTACTAGAGAAAATATAAACATATAGCCAACAGCAAGAGTGGTAACATCAGAAAGCCTGGATCCCCAAAGGGATGATCCATTCAAAAGGTCAGCTGACACTGTTGCACTGAGGTTATCTGATGCTGCACTCAAATCGGTGGCATTTCCATTCAATATTTCAGCAACTTGACCAAGCAAACCATTTTTTTGGTCGTCCGCTGTCAAATTTGCTACAGCAGTCAACGCACTCTTCAGAGTAATATTGGCCAAGAAAACTGCTGTTTCAGTAAGTGGCATGAAAGTTGACAATACTGGATTACTGGCGGAGGACAGAAGCCAAGACATATAATAGAGTATAATTTGCCCTAATGATAAAGGAACAAATATTACTACTCCAAGAAATATCATATTACTGGCAAGAACCTGCATTGATAGGAGGGCAGACCGCCATATCAGTTAATTCTCCAGTGTGGACGACAAAAGCAGAGTAATTAAAGAATACATTAGGAGGAGATAGGGGCATTCTTGATGAGTAGAGCATGAATTGTAATAACAAGAAAAGACCCTTCAGAATTGGAGCTTGGAGACTTACTGCAGAAACAAAACTCACTAATTTAAAGTAATATAATATATTTACTGGATGGATGTCAGGGCATTGAAGATGCCTAAAGAAAATGATAATTTACAAGAAATATAAAGCAAGCATGCCAGATATTGCAAAAGAAGTCCAAAAGTAAGAACACTTCCAACTGAACAATGAACTTACAGTAAATGCATTTTCAACCAGATGAAACACAGGACCATGCATGCCAACAAGCTCATCAAAAGGTACATCCTCCGCGCCATCAGCGTCATCCAAACCATCAAACATCTGCTCGACATGAGCTTCAAGCCGTGCTGCTTGCATCTCCCAATGGGCTGCAACATTTTCTGCATTTCTTCTGATTATTTGACCAGCTCCAGCAGCTCCTTGTGCACCATTGGCATCTTCACCATTCCGATCAGCAGCAAAATTTCTATCAGCTTGACCAGGAGCTCTTATTGCAGCATGAACTGCATTTCTATCTGCATCTTCCTCCCTATCAGCTTCTTGTCCCCCAAATTCACGCAAATGTCTGAAGTAGTCTCTCAATGATGTTACCCCAAGAAAGATAAACACGATGCTTGCAGAGAGTAAAAAACCATGCAGACAGTCAGTAAGCATAATGGTTGTAGATAAGTGACTCAAAAAGAGTCTCGGAGCTTCTCCAAAACTTCTTACAAAAGCCAATCTCCATATCCAGAATGTAATAAAAGGTATTATGAGCAGCCACACAGAGAGCACAAAGCTAAGACGAAGGAAAAACTGCAGGACTTGACATGCTTTCACAGCCATCCCGACAACAATCTCTTGAAAAGGAAGCCTGGCTGGAGCGTTGTCAGCATAAACTGGGGAGAATGAGAATGCATGTTTGCACACCTGCGTTCGAAGATAAAGAAATTAATGAGATTCGACAATCACCTTAAGCAAGCATAGAAGAGAAATTTAAAAAAAAAAAAATACATAGATAAAAGCCAATTGCCACCCAATGGTGTGGTCATGCTGTCAACAAGTGAGACGAAAACCATGGGAGATCAGGGTACAAATTTCAATAAACGCAAAAGATATTGGATGATTTATTCCCGACTTCCCAAACCTTGGAAAGTTATCCAATACTTGTGTTGGTGGGAGATACCAAGTACCCAGTAGAATAGTCGAGGTGCATGCAAACTAGCCCAGACACCAGGCACAACTTATTAGTTTAGGAACACCTGTCCAAAAATAGAAATCCTTTGGAAGGATTTTTCTCTCTTGGGAAATGAACCGACTTTACTTTCTTATCACATGATGCTCTGACGTGGCCTTTCTCAAGTGACTCTACTTTCTCTCCTTCTTAACCATGGGAGGAAAGATCTTCTTTTCTTCTAGCGAAAAATCCTTTCATTTAATAGACATCAACAAGCCCTCTTTTGGAATCAAGTTAGAGTCCTAAAAAAATAGAAGTCAAAAGTTTCATGTCCCTAATAAGGTAAAAATTGGGGCAATTTCTTTTAGAAAGTTCATTTCAAAAGAAAAGAAAAAGAGAAAAAAAAAAAGAAGAAAAGAAGAAAAAGAAAAAGAGAAAAAAGAAGGAAAAAAAAGAGATAAAGAAAAAGAAGAAGAACAACAACATACCCAGTATAATCCCACGGGTGGGGTCTGGGGAGGGTAGTGTGTACGCAGACCTTACCCCTACCTGGAGAGGTAGAGAGGTTGTTTACGATAAACCCTCGGCTCAAGAAAAGGTGGAAAGGAAGAAAAGGGAAGAAGAAGAAGAAAGAGGGGGGAGAAAGAAAGAAGAGGGAGACAAAAGACGATAAGGAAAAAGAGGAGAAAAAGTAGCATCAAATAGTAAAAATCAGGGAGCAACAATTTCCAGTAAAAGGGAGGAAAAGTAGCATCAAATAATAACAATCAGGGAGCAACAATTTCCAATAGCAATTTTCAAAAACAATGGACGTGGTTGCTAAGTACTTAGATATAATAACAAACTAGAAGGAAGTAACTTTCAACGAACAACCAGAATATTACTAGTACTACTGGTAAACCTAGGAGAAACTCACAACTACCTGTCAACTCAGCACCTTAAATCCTCGACCTCCACACATTCATATCGCTAGTCATGTCCTCGGTTAGGTGAAGCACCGACATGTCCTACCTAATCACCTCTCCCCAATACTTCTTTGGCCTAGCCCTGCCCTTCCTCAAGCCCGCCAAGGTCAGTTTATAGTTTTCCTTAAGTTCAATCTCACATCTAGGAAACATACTTCCTAGTTTGAGTCATTCAGGTCACACTTTTAGGAGACGCACTTCCTATTCTAAAGTTTGTTAGTTTTACCCCTAGGAGATGCACTTCCTAGTCTGGGTCTTTCAGATTTTATTTTTGGGAGACGCACTTTCTAATTTTAGGTTACAAGTTTCACCCCTACGAGATGCACTTCCTAGTCTGAGTCTTTTTTGAGAATGGTAACAAATTTTATTCATCAGCACAAAGATTATGCTGGCAACAGTATTTACAGGGTACTATCCTTGTGAACTTTACAAGGCTTCCAAAAATTGTAGAATAGATTCTGCATCTCCTACAGAAAACTCTTTACACCAAAAGTGAAAATTTAAAATACAATTCATTTTAACTACTTGTATGGAGCTACTCCTGTCTTCAAAACATTTGTTATTTCTTTCCTTCCATATGGATAAAAGAAACCTAGCGCCGCTTAAGTCATCTTCCTCACCAAGATTCCAACACCCAAACCCAAAAACACAGTTAAACACTCATCTTCTCTCTTGATTTTCCTTTTTTCCATAGCCACATAAGTACTAACTTGAGGTCATGTAAAAGCCAAAACAAAGCTCTGTCACTTTCATTTTTGCCGGCAACGAGCATCGCCCTTTCACCACAACTGCCGGCGAACCATAGTCCATCAGCTTCTTCCTCCTTGTCACCACCATTCCCCAGCCTTGCACAGTCACAACTACTGCAAATTCACTATTTTCATATCCAAAAGGCATTAGATATTTTAAGGTTTCAATTTCTGGTTTAGCTCGAGTTGTCCGGCGAGCTTCGAGGTTTCATCAGCAAGGTCTCCGGTTCGAGGTTCTATTTTCCGGTCAAGGTTTCAGTCGCACGTCGAAGTGTTGTCCGTTAGTTTCCGGTTCGAGTTCCGTCCATTGTTGGGTTTCAAGACAACTAGCATCTTCAATTTTGAGGTCCAATTCTCTCTCTGTCTTAATCCTCTATTTATTGAAATGAAAATGGCATGAGTTTTTGTGAACTGGGAGTTATTTGATTGAGTTACTTATGACTTGTTACTAATTAGATTATGTTGGTGCTGACAATTACTCACTTGTTGATTGAATTTTGTTGGTTGAATACAAGTTAGGATTATCAATTAATGGGCCATAGGTTTCAGTTTAATAAACTAAAATAAAATCGGGTCCTAATTAGTCAAGTTGGCCGTGGGGGGTGGGTAACAAAATTTAGAACTTAAACATTTTATTGTTTCTGCTTATTGTTTTATCACTTGTTTATATGGCTAGGAGCATGCCTAGGTCGTCAATACTTGGGTAGGCAAACTTTAGGTCTTCGTTTTTATTTTATTCGAGATGAGAGGTCGTTCCCTTTAGTTTATATCCAGGAGAATGCCAGTAAACTCTGTAAATTTTTTATCAGGGGAATGCCCCCGAAGTGAATGTAAAAGGAGGCCGAAGCGACATCATCATGGACGCGTAGTAGGATAATTAGATTTGTTTTTGTTATTTTCTTTTCTTTTATTTTATTTATTAGGTGGGGACGAACTCGAACCTCTTTTGGTGTTTATTTTCCGTTTTATGTGTTTTCTATATCAATTTGAGTATTTTTAAAGCCAACTAGAACATGTACGCAACCGTGACTTTCACGGGACTTGGGAAATGTCTAATACCTTCTCCCCGAGTCAAATGAACCCCCTTACTTAGAGTTTCTGGTGCAGACTATGTTTTAGAGTCTAAATGTGTTTTAAAGGATAAAATCTTTTTTTTTTTAAACGGTGACTTGACACACCGAAACAATTGTCAAGTGGCGACTCTGAAAAATCCTTTGAAACACGAATTTTGTCACTTTCAAATTGAAAAACCCTTTTGAATTTTAAAAATCACTTTATCTATTTTTAGAGGGGTTAAAGTGAAAAAAAGGGGTGTGACAGCTTTGGCGACTCACGAGCAGTTTAAAAAATGACAAACAAAACCTTTGGTAGGTTTGTGAGGCTGTACAAAAAGCTCCAAGGGATTCAGTGGATCTTTGCAGAAGATGGGGAAAGAAAATAGAGGTTTACTTATATAGATATACTCGGATGCTGCTGATTCCCATAAATGGCCTAAACCAGCCATGGTAGAAGGTAAAATAATCAAGATTAGTAAAGAAGTAGATAAATAGCAAAATAAGGTTAACTCAAGTGTCTGGTCGGATGTTTCAATGATCTATTTAGTTCTAGCACCACAAACAATATAAAGAAATGTATATGCAGGACTTAAAGTGACACCCCTATCACACAATCATTTTTTCTTCGAACTCCCATCAAAGTAGGAGGCAGTGCAAATTAAAGACGACAAATGATTCTGAAGCTGGAATAGTGATCACTCATGACGGGATAGAACTGGCTAGCTATAGAACATGAAATTTTTAGGTCAAAGCTATTGGCATCCCTCTCCAAGCTTGGTCTTCAAACACTTTCAGAGTCGTCAGAGCTTTATAGGGAGGCTGCATCAGAGTGTATCAAGATATGAAAAACAGAAAAGATGCAGGAAGCGAGGCTGAGATAGTTCATACATGTGAAGAAGAGATGCATGGATGCTCCCGTGAGTAGGTGTGAGAGGTTGTTAATGGTGGGTCCAAAGAAATGTAGAGGTAGACCGAACAAGTATTGGTGAGAGGTGATTAGGCATGATATGACAATATTCAGCTTACTGAGGACATGACTCTTGATAGGAGGGTGGGAGGTTGAGAATTAGGGTAGAAAGTTAGTAGGTAGTCGAGCGTTTTTCCTTCTCATACCTGTAGTTTTGTATTATTCTCGTATTTCCTTATTCTTAGATTGTCTATTACTACCTGATGTTGCTTCTGCTTCGGTTCTATTATAATCTTCTTGTTGTTACGGCTTCTTTTTCCTTAACTTCTTCACTATTGCATTTACTTTTCTAAATTGTAGTGTTTATGCTTGCCTTGAGCCGAGGGTCTATCGGAAACAGCATCTCTACCTACACAAAGTAGGGGTAAGGTTTACGTACACACTACCCTCCCCAGACCCCACTCGTGGGATTAGACTGGCTATGTTATTGTTGTTGTTGGCGTTGACAGACTCAAGGTGGGAGATGATGTTATTAAGGATAAAGAACAAATCAGAGAAGATATTCTTAGATTAATATCAAAATTTATATACTAAAAACGAAGTTCGAAGGCCTACAACTATTTTGCGGATCTGGCCAGCATCTCTGGGGAGGCAAAAAATGGCTTGACAGAACTTTTGAGGAGATAAAGGTTTAGAACCTGATAGCTATACTATGGGCTTTTTATCAGAAATCATGGGAATTCATTAGACAAGAAGTTCTGGATGCACTCAATCACTTTCAAATATAATAAGGTGAGATCTTGCAATGCTTTATTTATTACATTGATCCCTAAAGAGAAGGGGACAATTGAATTAAGAAACTACAGACCCATTAGTCCTATAGGCAATGTATACAAAATTGCAGCAAAGGTTCTAGCTGAAAGAATAAAAAAGGTCATTGGCAAACAATCTCACACTACTCATATTTGACGCCATATCTAGCCTTCACAACAATATGCTGAAGAGTATTATTTATCCAGTGAATGTTGTCCAAAACATTAAAGAACTGACAGAAATTATGGATGTAATATTGGCTCT